TTCGTTTGAAAAACTTTAAACAAGTATGTTGTTAGTTTTTTATTTTATGTTATACAATTTGTGTTTTAGTTTATGTTTAAGTGAGTATTATTTGTTTTTTAATATTATATATTAATGTTACAAAAAAGTTTAGTTTTATATCTAAGTTAGTATCATTTTAATTAGTCTTTCTATTTATAAACTTGTAACAAACGTTAATTATTTATAATTATTTAAAATTTTAATTTATGCTTAATAATACATACTGCAATTTATACATCATAAAAGTCACCAGTCAACTGTATTGATTAAAATGTTAATTTGTATTTCTACAGCAAACTCACTACATAAATCTACAGTTTTTACCACATATTTTTACTACAAATTAACATCAAATTATAACATCTACTGTAACTCAAATTCGATACTAAATGCTACCAGTCGGACCCTAAATTAAAACTGCTATTAATCAACTTTTAATATGCAAACAAACTTAAAACTTAAAACCGGACCCACAATACACTCTACTTCTATGTACAGTACAATCTCCACCGTTCAGATACCAAATCAACGTCTCCCATTGAATACTACATCTTCTACAATATGCACCGTCACGCATGTGATCCTTCCACGATATCCCTCTCCCACGATCTTTATTTTTCCCTCTTCTATACAAATTATTAAATTCTTTTATTTACTTATTTTTCTTTCTCGTTTAATGTTTCAGAAATCTCCGAAGCATTTATTGATTTTTATTTTCCAGCTTAAAATTTTGAAACGGTGAAATTATACAGAGACCAAATCTTGAAACCATCAAAGTTTTTGAATTCTATCCTTTTGGGCTCAGCTGAAAATTTCTTCTCTTGTCGCATTTTTTTAGTATTCCGTTTCTGTTCGTCTCTGATCGTTGAGACTCTCTATTTGGTTTCCGAGAAAACCTGCATTATTTTCCCGGAAAATTTGACCTCGTGTTGGGATATTTTTCGCTCCGAAAAAAGCGACGAAATGCCGAGCATTAGAGCTCCAGCTGCGAAGAAGACGACCACACTTACGGTTAGCTCTCAATTTTGTAAAAATTTCCAGTTTATCGGTGTGAATTTCTTGACCTCTTGAATTCTCCGGTGTTTTTCCCGGTAGGTCGCTGTGAAATGTAGACCGTTAATGGAGAAAGAACGAGGAAGAGACATTGTTCGAGTGAATAACTCTAAGGTTTCGTTCTGATTTCTTTCCAACAGTTTCGATTTGAAATTTTCGCCCTAATTTTTGTGTGTGTTTTTCGATTGCAGGAGGTGATTGTGTTGGATCCTGACTTATCTAAGGATTATCTTGATCGAATTCAGAATCGGACTAAAGAGAAGAAATATTGCTTTGATCATGCATTTGGCCCTGAGAGCACGAACAAGGTTCGTCTCTCTCGAAAATCTATGAGAAGAATTTCTTGAATCGTTTAGGTTCGTAGTGTGTATGTGACTTGAATCAGTAAGTGACTGAAGTTGTGTGATATTTGACTTGTGGTTTAAGGTTTGTGATGTAGAGTTATGAATCTAAACATGTATCGGTTTTCAGAATGTCTATAGGAGTATGTCTTCTGTGATCTCTGGGGTTGTCCATGGACTCAACGCTACAGTTTTTGCTTATGGTTCTACTGGAAGGTATGAAGTGATGTAAATGATCTCCAGTTCTATGTAGCATATATATTGGATTCGCATACGCTACATGAAAATTCATGTCACGCGATTCTTAGATGTAGACATTAACTGGTTTGATGAGAGCATCACAGGAAAATTGATGCAGTA